ATACTCCTGGGTGGAGAGAAGCAATGCAGATAAAGTGCCTTGCTCAAGGACACAAGCGAAATGCACAGCGAGGGATTGAAACCCCGACTTCGAGGTTGGGAAACCAAACCTTTCACGTCAAACCGCTTAAAAATGCGTGTTACATCCAAAATCACTTTGAAGCGGGACCGTCCCGCACGATGCGCGAGAAACGGTTGGTAATGCGTGTTGTAAGCAAGGACCCAATAGTATTTTGTTACGTTTCTTCACAGAGGGGGGTTCGTCCGAACCCCTTGAACCACCCCCCCCACCCTGGATCCGCTGCTGCTGTCCATTGACACCAATCATGACAATGTTTTATGTGTTGCGTCAGCCATCTTGAAATTCAAAATGGCGGCCGATGACTTTGGGAAAAAAATGGCACCTACTTTTTTGAATTCAGCGCAGTAAAAATGATAAAATTAGTCAATAAAATCTATTTTTGCTCAAAAATCTATCTGGATTACATAGAAAACTAGCTTATATACTCGTTCTTATTTTATGTACATTTTAAGTAAGCATATTTTGCGATTTTTTTAAAACAAATAAACACCTATTTTTAATTATGTTCCATTCTGGCTTGAGTGACAGTAGTTTTTATATGTCTAGTTTGTTGCCTGTCTAGAAATTATGAGTTTAAACACCAAAATCATATCTGTAGCTTATTTAGTTTCAATTTTATGCACATTTTAGATAAATTTGGCGGCCATTTTGAAAAATGGCCGCCATTTGTATACAAGGAGTAAAATCAAGTGTCAACAAGGCTTTGGGTGACCAGAAGGGATTCATTAGGATATCTGGCTATGTGGATTGCTTCTAACATTCCACTCCCCCTAACCTTTTTCAGATTTTTTATCTAGTCTAAGTTCAAGCGAATAAAAGATTCACTTGTGCGAACAACAGCCTGTGCGAGTTATGTACGAATAACTTTACAATTTCCTTTTTTGAGCTAACAATTTGCATTTGGACGAGGCTCAGGCTTTGCCTGGGAGTCAGGCACTGGCGTATCTAGTGGTGCGTGGGGGGGGGCCTCCAAAAATTACTCGCCCCACCCCCCAAAAAAAAAACAATTGCAAGTAGTTAAAAATCACCTAAAATCACTTTATTTTGCGAGTTAGCCTCCCTCAACTGATCATCGACCCCCCTACTTCAACTTCGCGCTCCCAATCAGCACCCCCATTTCAAGACTTCTAGATACGCCACTAGAGCCAGGGGAAAAGCCCCGGTGGGATCCGGGGGAGAAGCCTATAGCCTTACGCATCATAAAAAAAGTTGTATTTAATTGATTTATATTAAGGTTAACAATTTACAATTAAACATACCTATGTTCATAAAAATAATGTTTAGTCATTGTTATTCTTTCCACATGCTAAGTTTATAAAAAAAAGTGGGTTTTTAACTATATAGACGAATGGTTGAATAGTGGAGAAAATTGGTATGATGTCTATTACTGTGCTGTTGATAGTCTTGTTACAGGGGCTGGGGGATCCAGAATTTTTCAAACAGCAGGGTGGGGTCACAACAGTTTCAGAATAGATAAGTGAGTAGCACATAACAGTAATATGCATTGACATTTTTAAAATTTAGTGGCAAGACAAGGGGGGCACGTGCCTCTCCTACACTGGATACGCCCCGAGGTGTGTCGCACTGTACTACACCGATAGTTTGTGCACCTTCTGATACCATATACGTAAAAATAATTTAAATTTCTATGGTGAATATAAATTACAATTACAGTTACTCCCATATACAAATATAGGCCTAAATCGTAAATCTACAAATACTGATACAACACTATACAGTATAATTCAACTGGAGACAAAAACCATGAATTCTATGTGGGAAATTCTATAGTTTTAAAATATAGGGCCTAAGTGCTTCTAGTGGCCATCTTTTAGTCGGATTTGCCAAGACTGTAATTCAAACATGGAATAATTATCAAAAAGTATTAAAAACATTCCAGAACTTTAGTGCACAGAGCATTTTTCGCATTTAAAACAAACAAAATACAAAAATAGGGCAACAATAAATTTGCCCTTGTTGTAGTTTGCACTAAATGCATCCACTTGAACTGGCATCCACTCGAACTGGCATCCGCTCGAACTGACATCCGCTCGAAATTGACTGGCATCCATTGAGTGCTAGCAGGGAACCTTCATGTTTTGGTGTACAGTAGGCCTAGTAATATTGTACTTTGTCAAGTGTGTTTATGCAACATATGACGAAAGTAAAATGACAAGAAAAAAATTTGAAGCTGATGATAATATCACTTTTATTTGAAAAGTTATCACAATGATTTAATAATATATTTAATGATTAAACTACATGCAGTACTATAGTAGGAAAGTAAATTAAGTTTAATAAAAACAAAATTAGCCGACGCTAATTTCGATCGAGTGAACAATGTAGGTTTATTAAAGTATGAATGCGCATGCATTATTTATTTCACGTAGACATATCGTTTACTGATTTGTTTACGGTCACGTAAATATATCCACTTCCTTTATTATATCACAGGAAATCGTCGCCGTTCCCATCAGAAACATCAGTCAGAGGCCCCGTCCGCCGAATTACCCGTCCGCCAGGCCACCATCAATTCCCAGCCACCAGGAATACCGCAATTAGATGACGGGAGTACAATAGGCTAGGGCAAGTGGTTTCGGTCGGGTTAATTTAGGCCTAGGCCCCTAGGGCCCTCCGCCTCCCGCGTTCCTAGACATAGGCTAGGCCTAGCTTAGGTAGGCCTAGTAGTAGGCCCTAGTAGTATAACTAGCCTACAAAAGATCTTATCTCAACAAAATTCAATTCTTACCGTAGGCCTAGGTCCTTTATATACTGGAGACATCATATCTTTATGTTGCGTCGTATAAAAAGTTATATTTTACAAATAAAATCAAGTTTTATAAGCAGTTTCCTGGTTTCAATCGCCGATTGTTTAACTCCAGTAGTGACGACACGAGGCTGGTATTACGATACGCCATTGGCGTCACTACTAAACTTATTAACTAATTGATACGCTCATAATATATTACAATGATTGATGATACATTATAACTTCTAAAATACTACTATATAATCTCAAGCAAACAATTCTCCGATAAACAAAAAGAAACTCCCTAAATATTTGTGAATTTAAAAACAAATGAAGTGGCCTTCCATATAAGGTAAAGTAAAGTAAAGTAAACTACGCCCTCAAATCAGATCATCGCACTTTTGTTGAAGTACTGTAAATTTTATTTTATTTACGATCTGAAAAGATAATGACACCCTCTAGGCTGTTGCAAACGACCCAGATTTTTTTTTTTGGGGTGTGTGTGTTTCTATACAATATTTGTATTATTTTTTTAACCATTCTGATAAACGAGTAGATAATATCAATATACAATCGATAATGAACAATGTCGAATTGGTATAACTACAGTTTTAATTGCGTGTAAATTTTAGCAAAACTTACCTGGATCAATGGCATTTTTTTTTTATAGGTACAGTAGTTTTCTTGCTTCAGTGGCGGATCAAGGGGTGAATAGGGTGTCTAGCCACCCCACTTCGGTGACCGTGAAAAAAAAAATGGTCACTCGTCTTGTGTGTGTGTTTCTCTTCTCATGTATACATGTTACGTGAAGTAGGCTACTCTCGTAAAGCATTCACTTTCTAAGTTTATAATATAATAACTTCTTTTCAGATGTCATCCAAGAGCGTCAAGCCTCAATTGGAAGGAGCAGTCCTCCCATGACCCATGAACAATGGGGGACAGTGGAACACGTCCCCGAATATTTTAAGGGGTGGGAGGTTGGTCTCCTCACTTTTCGTCCGCAATGTAATAATTTCGTAAGTCAAAAAGATGCCTGAAAATTGTTGAAACGAACTGCATAAATAACCCAGGTTTTAACGAAATGGTGATGCACAACATGGTGGGTGTGGACTCACGAAATTTCACCCTCACCTTTCGAAACAGATCTGTGCCCTTGCCAAAACCCCCCGCCCCCAAACTTGGTGCTTCGCGAATTGCATTATTCACCCCCATTGCTAAATCTGCTACTGTGCTTATAATATTGTATTTGTAGTATTGTGTTGATTGCCTTCTTGTTTATTGTATGTTTATTTTCATCATGAGTGGATTTCCCGCACGATTAAAAATCCTAACGGTACAGGGTTTGCTCTGCACGAGTTCACGATTTGAACAGGTCATTTTGTTCTTGGAAGAAGCCTTTTTATGGAGAAAGTGTACCTTTTTATCAAAGTTTGGCTAGTTCAAAATTAACTCTGGCTATATAAAATTGATTAGAAGATTGGAAATGTTATTCTTGTTAATGAATATGAATAGATAAGGATTACTACTATGTCCATTTTTTATTGATCTAATCTATGTAAATTTACTTTAATGTAATTAAAATCATCAAAGGTACATATATACAGTGTTTAATAAGGACATGATGGAACTATATAATATATATATAT